CTTTTGATTATCAACTTAGTTTTTAAAAGCACTCAGCTGGGGAGCCTGGGTGGCTCAGTCGGTTAAGCCTCTGCCTTTAGCTCAGGTCATGATCCCAGGGTCCTGGGATCGAGCCCGGCATCAGGCTCCCTGCTCAGCAGAGAGTCTGCTTCTCCTTCTCCCTCTGCCTCTCCCCCTGCTTGTGCTCTCTCTCTCTCTCTCTCTATGTGTCAAATAAATAAATAAAATCTTAAAAAATAAATAAATAAAAGCACTCAGCCTACAGCAAGGGCACTCTCTCCCCAACTCAGCTTCTGCCACAGGAAAAAGTTGCCTGGCCCAAGCTTTAGTACAGCTGAAGGGTGCCTCCCCTGAATCCAACAAGAGGTTCTACATAGATGCGGATCTCAAGGCTTAATTACACAAAGCCATCTAGAGAATCTAGCTGAGGTGGATTTTAAGCGTACTGTCACATATTAAAAGTCTAAGCAATCCAGCCCAAGGACTCCTGTTACTGTGGCCAATGTGGATACCACGAGGACATTTGGAATGGCAGGGGTTATGACACGGCATCTCAGGTTCACAGCAATTTGTCATAAGCATTATGCCCAGATAACTCAAAACTCTTCGCCACCATTATCCACAATGGGTGTAGTAGTATTTAGCTGTGAGTTCAGGAAGTGGGCAGAATCTCATCTGGAAGGGAGGAAAAGAATCATAGAAGTTGTGCTTTGAGTTCAGTTCATTTGCTTGGACGTGGCCAATTGCTATTCTGAATAGTTTATGAAACTTTTGAAACTTATCCATGCCAAATTTCCAAATATCAGGGAACATAGTAGGGAGGGATGGTAGAAGAGTTTACTTTCTGAAACAGATACAGTGTAATTGGAAATCAGGTTTTCGTGTTCTACTTATCAGGACAGGAGTGGACTCCCCTCCGTAGAACAAAGGCCTATTGTGTTGTGTTTACTTGTGCTCTGAAAGGGCAAATCATCTTAGATGGTGGCCACTTGGGTCCACACTATGCAGCCAAACCTTTGTATCTGGAGCAGATTTTGCCATGCTGGGAATGATGTTTGCAACCCATATAGAATATGCTAGAGAAGTGAGGGAGAGGAATAGCTGTCTCAAGCTCTGCTATGGGATGAGCTTTGAAACAGCAATGAAGAAATATGCAGGAGGAATTGCTAAATATGGAGGCTCAGAACAAAACACTATGGAAGTGATTTCTAAAGGGAACATAGAAAACAATATTCTGGATATCACAATCTTGTATAAGAGCTCCTGGCTGCTAAAATGCTTTCTCCTGTCTTCTCCCCTCATACCACCTGAAGGACCTTGGATTTTGTTGCTATCCCTAGTGCCCTCTTGGTGCACGAAAACAGGACATTGATTAGGTCAGAAGCTTGGGGTGTCTACTTTCTAGAATTCATGTCTTTGTTGTTAAAATTAATATGTGTACCTTTTTCATTTCTTTTTAAAAATAGTTTTTACTTTCATATAATGCTATTGTCTTCAAAAATCTACTTACATTTAAAAGCTACTGTGACTAACTTAATTTTAAGGATAGCTACGTGTTATATTGATGCACTGAAATTGCTCAGGGACAATAAAGGTAAAAGCCTGTATGATCTGGTTGTCAGGTGTGTACCAGTGAGGTGACTGATCTCTCTCTTGTGAGTATTTAGGAAAACGGGGTCAATATTCTCTATTGATAGCTCCATAAAAATGGTATTAAAGTTGCTCTGACTACATGTAAGCAGAATAAGCAGAGGAGGGGACAATGAAATTTCTGCCCTAATTTTTGTGCAGACAAAAAGAAGTTTCATCTCTGAGTCAATCTGCAAACAGCTCCTTCTGAAACTCGGAGATTTCTGGGAGACGTGCCTTTAAAAATCATAAGAGCCCCTCAAGCAGCATGTGAGCTGGAGCCTGACTCACCACAACCCCATTTTCAACCCACCTCTGACCATCTGCCTGGTTAGATATGCCCTTCCCCTAAACTCACAGGAAAGGGCAAAGGTACAAGGCAGCCTTTCCTAAGGGCAATATGAGGGGTGCAGACCGTTGTGCAGCATGGATAGGGAAGGGAGAGATCACTTCCCAGTGGGGTGGCTTTAGAGGCTGGGTGAGGAAGTCTGGGCTCCTAAGAATGAGCGGGACCAGGATCTAGGAGGAAGTGGAGGGCTATCACAAGGGAAAAAAATGGCCTGTAAGGACAGAGAGAAAGAGGCATACCTCGGGCACTGTGAGTGAGGGTTGCTTTTTTTTTTTTTTAAAGATTTTATTTATTAATTTGACAGAGAGAGACACAGTGAGAGAGGGAACACAAGCAGGGGGAGTGGGAGAGGGAGAAGCAGGTTTCCCGCCGAGCAGGGAGCCCCGACGCGGCTCAATCCCAGGACCCTGGGATCATGACCTGGGCCGAAGGCAGACGCTTAAGGACTGAGCCACCCAGATGCCCCATGAGTGAGGGTTCCTTTTGATGTGGTAGAGAAACATATGACAAAGCTGGGAACATGTGTCCTCAGGCTCAATTCAGATCAATGTTGAATGTCAGGAAGAGTAAAGTAGGATTTACTTCTCTGATGGGGGGGTTGCCCACCAGGGCCTTCGAGTAGGAAAATAACAAGTTTTAAGAATAAGGAAGAGTAGGGCGCCTGGATGGCTCAAATGGTTAAGCGTCTGCCTTTGGCTCAGGGCATGATCCCAGAGTTCTGGGATCGAGTCCCGCATCAGGCTCCCTGCTCAGTGCAGAGCCTGCATTTCCCTCTGCCTCTGCCATTCCCTCTGCTTGTGCTCTTCTGTCTATCTCTCTGTCAAATAAGTAAATAAAATCTTTAAAAAAGGAAGAGTAAAGTTTAATTTGATGGTAACGTGTAAGGTAAATTGGAGAGGGAGGCACTGAAGGCAGATAGGTCAGAGAAGGAGTTCCCCTGACAGTCAGGCATGAGACAGTCAGGTCCTAAACCTGTACACATATGTATATAGCAGCTCTCTTCACAATTACTCAAAACTAGGAACAACTTAGATGTCCTGTGGGTAAATGGACAAATAAACTGGAACATCCATCTAACAGAATACTACTTAGCAAAAAGCAAAGAATGAGCTATTGCTACATGAAACAGCTTAAATGACTTTCCAGGGCATTATGCTGAGTGAAAGAAGCCTCTAAATGTGATATACTGTAGATTTCTTTTAGGTAACATTCTGAAAAAGACAAAACTATAGGAATTGGGAATAGATCAGTGGTTGCCAGAGTTCAGAGAAGGGGGTAAGATATGACTACAAAGGGGAAGCATGAGGGAGTTTTATTGGAGGGGGTGATTGAACTGCATCCTGATTGTGGTGGTGATTACACAAATCTATACATTTGTTAAACTTCACAGAACAGTACACACGGAAAAGGGCCAATTTTGTTGTATGATAATAATTTTTAAAAAATCAGAGTTGTCCCCCATTAAATGTAATATCAGAAAAGAATGAATGGAAACATTTTGTGGTAGTTAAGGATCACATCTTTACAATTCATTGGCTATATTTACATTGAAAATTCTCTCTTGGATAATAGAAAATGTATTCCTCAACCGTGGGATAAATTCTTGATGCTTAAATATAAATGATAAAACATTAAGTCAGCAAAAATATTTATTTTTTGGAACCCTCCCTTTCCTATGGCAGGCTTTGTTTTTGGCTGCCGCATCCCACTGTGACCATCCTAGACAAAAGATCCCTCACTGCCTCCTTCTCCTGATTCTCCAGCTGGCTCCATTGGCCAGGATGCCATTTCTGGCAACAACACACTTCTAAGTACCAGTGGATTATGGGTTGTTGGGATATCAGTTTCCTCTTTTAACTAATATATTTTTTTTGCAGCAATGATGTTCTCTCTGCTTCTGATCATAACAATTATGAATGTTGATAGTTCTCTTTTTTAATGGAACAAAGTGAATGATACCAGACTATCTCAAGAGTGCCATGAATGAATGAAAATTCTACCTGCTAATAAGCCTCACACCAAATGGTGAGATACAGAGTACTCTCTCCTTTCTGAGGGCTTTGTGAGCGTATGAAAGCTATTTTCCCACATATTTATTTGAGTTCCAAAATAAAGTTCACTCTGAGGAAAGCAGGCTTTTCTGGGGACTCATCTGATTAACAAGGCATCAGATCCTAGAGGACATAAGAGGTCTGTCTGAAGCCTATTTGAACCCCAAGTGGAAGCCATCCAGCAGTCATCAATGAAAAGGTCAGACATCTAACAGTTGATAACTTGAGTTCAGCCAGAGAGCGAAAAAGTAGTGGATTACTTATATAAAATGGCTAACAAGAGAAAACCGGGCTCCTTCCCACAGATTAACCGGGGAGTCAGCTTTTTTTTTAAAGGTGCTCTTTTAATAAGATGTAAAATTTTTTTTTTTCTAACACATCAATGTGTTGTGAGAACTGTCATTTCATTTGTAGCCATTAGGAAACTTTTCCAAAGTCTTAAAAATTGATAAAAACTATTTTGCCTCCAGATTGTGTCAGATATTATGTGGTATCTCTTTTTAAAACATCATTGTAAAGCATCATGATCATTTAATATCATGCTTAAAACATGAAAAAATTCAAGAGAACTAGTAGAAAAAAAATCCCACGCTCTCATTCCTACATTCTTTTCTAGCCGCCTCTACCCCCACCCCTCCCCCCATCTACCACCTTCGCCCATTTTCATGCTAGATGGGACTCCTGGGGAAATGGTGGACTGTAGGTCTTGGGGGAGGAGGGGAGGTGGGCAAATTCGAAGCAGAGAGAGACAGAGATAATTCCCCAACGAAGGAGAAATGGTCGATTAACCCCTAAAGGCTGATCCTCCCTGGCAATCCAAGAAAGGCGAATTGCAACTGCAGGGAGAAGATACCAGTTCTATTGTCTCTGATTGGCAAATACGAAAAAAGATTGACAGTATCAAGTGGAGGGAATGCAGGGGGCGGGCTGCAGTGTTAAATGGGAGGGGTCACTGAAGACTGGAGCTCATTGATGACGCGACCCTCACGTGACCAGGAGTCGACGTGTGCAGAAGTCCTTATAGTCCAGGGCCTGTTTCCCTGTAGCAGCTCCGTATTGCTGGAGAAGGAGAAAAGTGCCCCGGACCCCTTCAGGTCAGTGTAAAAGCGGGCGCTGCCTTGGGGACCCTCGGGTCTAGGAGCCAGAGAGCAGTAGCCAGGCGGGGTCACCACTGTTTTCCCAACATTAGAGCCCGCCAAACTCCCATTTTTGTGCAGGAAATTTGGGGCTGTTTGGTGGGGGTCGAGGTGGAGACGGAGAAGGAGAAGGGTAGCCAATTGAGGGTCCCTAGAGAGAGAGAGAGAGACAATTTGGGAAATAACTTGGCGTCTCCCACTCCC